GCTTCGATGACGTCGTTTTCTATAACAAGTGGTCGTAGTATTTGTGGTTGTTTACCTATTTTCATGTATTTCGTTTTATTGGTGTTTATTATTAAACCCATTTATGTAGCCGCTTCCTTTAGTGCTACGTACGCCTCTCGTAATGCGTTTTCCGTTCTCCCAACAAAATTGATATCATCACCATAGGGTGGTTAGGGTTTTCAAAAAAAATAACTCCATCTCAGCTCTCTAGATGCTCTACAAAGGGCTTCGGTTAGTCAATCTGAAGTTGCCTCTGCGTTTCCATCTTAATTAAACGGGATGGTAAATAAAACTCGGTTTTTGTCGTTAGATCAAGGTCCTAGCAAAAGAGTCTCAGGACAATTAGGGAGTAGAGCCCCGTGAAGGAGGCCCCAGACGTGGGAACCGTAGTAAAGCTAGGCTTGACTGATCCATGGCTTGGAAAATTCATCCTTTTTATACACTTTTTTCATATCGGTATGTGCATTTCCATATGCATTGGCCATTTTGAAATTGAATGTGAGGTAGAATGGCGGGACGATGCGCATCGACGTGGTCCTTGGTCCATACACTAAAGCACGCGATGACACCCCCCCCCCTCCTTTGAAGACTCTTTTGATGTAGAAGAAGTTTATTTAAAATTAGTGATAGACAGAATTGTGTTGTAAATAATCTCTGATAATATAGAAACTGAAGTGTTACAGAGACTTCCAACAGACCTTATGGGACAAATATTTTTATGGATTTTTGGAAGTTCATATAACCTAGGTGTTATAGGATCAGATACAGTTAACTTTGTTGTTATATTTAGTAGTAGTATCATTGAACAATTTAACCGTTGCTTTTATTTTATTTATAAAGGTGTTAACTGGATATTTTTCTAAAATTACAAAACTGTTACCTGAAAGGAAAGATTCTACTTTCTCTATGTATTGAATTTGTTCTCGCATAAGCCTTATCAGCCTTGCTAAGTACTAGAGAATTTTTATCGATGATTTATTTAAATGATTTTCTTTTGTGGTTCTTCTAAATGTGCCTCTCTTCTAGAAAAGTTGGCGACCACATTTACCCATCTTATTCTATTCACAGCAGATCAAAATAGATCAATTGATGTTAGGCCAGTCGACTTCCTAAGATCCAGGACCTTTCTTACCCTCAATCTGGTCTTGTAGGATCAACTGTAAAAGTTGGTATTTATTACTACGAATGATGTGTTAATAATTTCTTTGTATTTTCTTAACCTCTGGAGAACAGTTATGTTACTTGTGTAGTGTATATATGATACATTTAACATACGTCGGTAGCACCACATTTCAAATGCCTCTAATTGTTTTATGGTGCTATTGAGTCAGTGTATACGAATAAAGAGTCCAATAAATTTTAAAGTTCTCTGAATTGTTTGAGTCGATACCTGTAACAATTGCCTTCATTACCGTAAGGATGATTTTGGATTAGCTGCAAAATATCCCAGGATGTCTATTTGCAATTTTATTACCGACGTGGGTCCTTTTACTTATAATTTGACCTAACTGGAAACAGTTGTTCAACAAACGTTTTACAGTTTTATGATTTGGTCGAGGCTTCTCAAGATATATCTCAGTAAAAACACGGCAAGTTCTGGATACTACAAATTATTATTATAACTCTCACCCAATGGCATACAACGAGATTACTATTAAACATTAACAATAAATGATATTTTTGTTAGAATATTCCACACGCTACTTGATAAATAAATATTTTGTGACAAAAATGTATAAAGTTAATTTATTTGAAATCTGCAAGAGATAGGTGTAGACAATACTAATGCAGATCGATAGTGACAAACATGTTTTTCTAAAATAATGAATCGCCAACAGGTAGTCCTATTTGAAAAAAAATTAATTAGGGGAAAATTGAAGATGCCGATTTTATGCCAATTTTGACAGCACCCTGTATAATGAAAAAGGCAACTTTATAATGTAATGCTGTATCTGTTGAACAAGTTCATGAGGAACTTATACTTTTATTCAAGTAACTTTTGAGGATATCGAACTTTATATACGTGGAAAAGAGTAATTTTCATATAAAAACCATTATAACTTAAGAATGGTTTACAATAGGTATAGGGAGGTATTAACAAAAAATGCTTAGAATAACGTGAATATTTCTAAAATTAAAAAAATATACAGGGTATCCTATTAAAAAAAAAGTTATAAGCAACTTCCGGTATAACTGGAAAGAGTAGATAGATATAAATGCATTCATTAGGTCACACTTCAAAACCCCTTTATTTGAATTTTCATGATATAGTTACCTTTAGTTCTCGAGATATTTCTAATTGGCCGTTTATCACCCTGTATATTGACTATCGATATAAACAAACAACACAGTTTATGAGGGTTGCAGTCAGAAAATTGGATGTTAAAAAACACTCTTTTGACTTTTTGTCTAGCTTTCGGAATGGTTTTATTCCTTTTTCAAGACACTGTAATATGAAAGATATGTAAATATTTACAGAATATCATAATTCTTTTGAATTATGATATTTTGTAAATATTGCAAAAGTATTGACACTCAACATGGATAACACATATATAAAATATAAAATAATGGACAAAATACATTCTAAAATTTTTAAAATTTGGGTAAAGATAGTAAAACTTAATTTATGGCATTTTTCACTGGTGTGTTTTAACTGTGAGACATAGAAAACAGAAAGTAGAAACCCTGTGATTAAAATGTAATTAGGTGTACTTGATATTATTTTTCTTTTCAAGAAATACTAGAGACCCATCTTGGGTGATTTTACTTTTTAAACTTGTCTTAATGGTATACAACATATTATGCATACAGGTGTAATTTATGTACAGGTAAATATTTATTTTATTTTTGATGTTTTTTCAGTAAATAACAATAAATGTTGCTCAGTTTGTCTATGTTGCACTTTTTATTGATGCAAGATGTAGTAGATTTTATGAAACACATTTCCAAAAAAACACGTTTTGAATGGTTCTTTTTCTTTGCCAAAATACAGGAATCCTCAAAATTGAATTCATGTTTCAACGTTAATTCATAATCTGTCAATGCACATGCATTTGTTTTTTTTTGGTTTTTCTATCATTACGTAGTTGATAGATGTTGCATACCATTAAGACAGGTTTAAAAAGTAAAATTACCCAAAATGGACCTTGGTTAATTTTAATCACAGGGTTTTTACTTTCTGTTCTCTATGTATCACATTTCAAACACATCAGTAAAAGATGCCATAAACTAAGTTTTACTATCTTTACCCAAATTTTAAAAATTTCAGAATGTATTTTGTCCATTATTTTATATTTTATATGTGTGTTATCAATGTTGAGTGTTAATGCTTTTACAAATAATCTCAACGACTAGTAAGTTACACTGAAGAATTATGATATTTTGTAAATATTTTATTCCGAAAGCTAGACAAAAAATCAAAAGAGTGTTTGTTTAACATCCCGGCCAATTTTCTGACTGCAACATTAATAAACTGTATTGTTTGTATATATATATATATATATATATATATATATATATATATATATATATATATATATATATATAGTGGTTTTTGAGGTTTAACATAAGATTTTTGTATATTTTCGCTAATTCATTTTAAGTTTGTGCTTGTAATTAGCATTATCGGTATACTTACTAATGTTTTTTTAATTACTAGTTCAAAATTTTACAGAAAAGATTAAAATAATCTGATTAAAGAGATTTACCATATGGACTGGCCAGCGCAATCCCCGGACCTCAATTTCATCGAGAATTTGTGGCAAAGGATATCAAACATCATTTCCCAAAGCAAACCCACAAATAAAACGAAATTAATCAAATATCTAATCCACGCTTGGCATCACTGTATTTCCATGAAAGAACTGCAAAAATTAATAAATTATATGACCAAAAGATGTGAACTAATTACAGCTAGTTATAAGCTAGTTAAAAAGAAGAGCTGGCCTTTTAAGGCTGTTTTAGCAGTTGAAGTACACTGCGTTTTGAAATGGGCGTATCACTTACTTTTCTACACTGCTTACGCCAAACTATCTTTACTCAGTGGCGCCGGCCGACGGGTAGTTTAATGACAACAAATCCATTATTCCCCATTCAAATTAGTTTTAACGCGAACTAACTGGCCGTACGGTCATGAGATTTGACGTCGCGAAGGCGATAACGGTGAAAGTAATCGCCAATGATGAGTAACACGTTTCACTATTAGATTTTAGTATTTTTTAGAAATTTTCTATAAAGTTGGAACACGCTTTTCTCGATTATTACTGGACACAAAAAGGTGAAATAAAAATCAACGATTACAGAAAAAAAACTCTTTCAAGTGATGGGCGTAAAAAGTTTGGTTATAATAAAACGTTGAACAGTATAATCAAATTTTTCAACAGAAGTTTACAAAAAATAAAAAAAAGTAAAACCATCATTTTAAAGGCAACATAATTTCGAATAACGTGTCCAAATTTCGAGACATTTTGTCGGTAAATAACAGAGAAAACACTGTCCCTAAGTTTTGGCGCACCGATAGAACAGCCTTAAATATAAAAATTAGTTTAAATTACTTCAATGTGATATACAATATCGTCTTGATGTAAATAGCCTAATTTTTGTAATATTGAAGAAAAAAATTTTCGAACTACATTTTTTTATTATCAAAATTTTTGATGTGTTTCCATTTTATAATATTGTGTTTCAGTGGTTGTTTGTTGTAGATAGTAAATTTTTAAAAAAATGTAAGGTAAATACCTTACACTTCTATTTTCATGTATTTGGTAAGGCGATGAAGGACTTGTTAACACCACTGTATATATACAATTGTTTTATCTGTGCACAAAATTAAATTTTTCTCATAAGAAATTTTCTTTTATACAAGCCCTTTCCTTTTTATAGGACATGTTACTTTCTTTTATTGAGATTTATAGTATGTATCTATATAGATCTTTACACGTATAAATATTAACTCTCCAGAAAGAAAAATCACTTACTATATTCCAGGAATACCTCATACCCGCCCGAATCCGTTCTTTTCAGCCCTGCACTTGCCATAAAAATTCACTTATCAATCAAAACCGGAAAATTTTTCAGCGATCGCTTTCGCTATTTCCGTTTGTTCACTTTTCTTATCTTTTTTCTTCTCGCGCGATGTACTGCGATGCGTTCCATGCAACTCAAGCCGAGAATCGATCATACTCACGCCAAAAACCGATTTAAAACCCATCTGCGAACAGCTTGCCGAATGATTAAATGTTTATGAGTTGAAGGCACTCATTACATTCTCAGAAGGAAAGTAAATATAATCTGGAAATAGTTTTTTTACAGTTTTGTAGGTGTGTTTACCGAAAAATATCAATAATCTGTAAGTGAGATGCTCTCGGAAGTTCTCTATAAGATTAGTTAAACACAAAACAAATGTCGTTACACATCGTGTTTTGATTGTTGCCATATTTCTAATGTGGCAACAGAGGTCGAAATTGTTTAAGAAATAAGAATTTCTATTTTATGCCATTTGAATTCATTAATGTAACTGTCTAAAATATGGTAACTGTCAGCTGTTATTCACATAACACTACTTTTTATCCCTATAATAAAAGAGAAAGACATCGATAGGAGACGAACAGTTTGGGTTCATGTCAGGAAGGAGGACAACGGAGTCCTTGTTTGCTTTGAGATAGTTGATAGATAAATACGATGAGAAGAAAACATTTGGTATTTATAGATCTTAAGAAGGTATACCACACAGTTTCTAAACGAGAGCTATGGAGATGTATTAGAGAAAATGGGTTTCTGAAAAGTACATAAGCCTCGTGAAGGATATGTATGAGGGAGTTTACACCAAAGTAAGGACTGTTTAATCTTATTATAGATGTATTGACTCAGAAACTAAAGAAGGGAGCTCCTTGATCAATGCTCTTTGCAGATGATATTATATGATATGTATTATAAGATGATATTATAGATGATGTTAGTAGAAAAGAACAAATAAATGTTGGAGAAGAAGTTGGAGAATTGGAAAAGACTTATTGAAGAGGCAGGACTTATTCGGTCGAAAACGGAGTAAATGTGGTTAGGAGGAAAAAGAATAATTAGGGACATTAAAAGAATTGTTTTAAAAAAATACTAACATGAGTAAGTTTTAATTTTATAATTTAAATACATTGGCTCGTACATAACGGAAAATGGGACAGGATACAGGCTGGTTGGTTTAACTAGAAGCGAATGATCGGGGTACTCTGTGATTGAAAAATCGGGGAAGAGCTGAAAGGAAAGAGATACCAAAGTATGGTGAGACCTGCGTTGCCGTACGACGATGATGTGTGGCCTGTAAAGATGATTCAGGAAAATAAGATGGAAGTAGCTGAAACTACTAAGGTTTTTAAACGGTTTGTTCTTTGTCTCGTGTTATGTAAATGTATTAGTTAATGTTAATGACATTTACCAAATTGTTGGATAGCCTCATTTTGACGAAATGTCCCTGAAGATGCTCTAGGAGTGAAAGTACTTGGACAAGATTTAATAAAAACTGTGCTCGAAATCTGCCTTCTGTTTGAATAAAGTAGATATAAAGTTATTCAAACCACATCTCTACGACAAATCTTTGGAGCCTTTAGAACTACCCCAGTAAAAAGCCTTCAAGTGCTAGCAGGTGAAATGCCACTATTTCTCAGAAGACAATGTCTATCATTATGCTACGCTTAAAAATTCTAAGAGCAAAGGATAATACCTTTCTTGCAAGTTTAGTGTCGGAAAAATCACTAGAATAGTATACAAATTACACCACCAAGACAGTACCATTTTACGAACAAGTTTACTCAAATATTCCACTCACAATTTGTCCTTCACTGATACTTCCAAATATTGCAAAGAAGTAGCAGCTGCTACTGTATCAGAAAACGTAATTTCTGCCACTAGATTAACTGACGACTGGAGTATTTGTACCACAGAGCTTCAAGCAATACTTGACGCACTAAATCATCATAAAACCACAAGTAGAAAACAAATAATAATATTATCAGATTCATTAAATTCTTTACAAGCCATTAAACATGTTTATCCTACACACATCAATCTATTCCTAATTAAAGATGCGTTGCAACAGCTCCAATTTTCTGAGAAAACCATATCATTATGTGTGTCCTAACCCATGTCAGAATAACTGGTGATGAGCTAGCAGACAAAACAGCGTTTAAAGCAATAAACAATGTAAACATTCCGACTACAACAGGTATACCAATATCAGATCTTCTTAAAGTGCGTTCTCCATTACTGAAGGTTGGCTATAACTACAGCAAATTACTCTCTATCTTCAGTTGTTCTTAGTATCGAATGTGTGTCCATACCTGTCCAGTCTCTTACGTTCTTTAACCAGGAGCATTTTTTCTTCCTGGACCTCTTCTTCCTTCCACTTTTCCTTCCATTATAAGTTGTAGGAAGTTGTGTTTTTCTCCTCTGTAAATATATCCTAGATAACTCGTTTTTCTGTTTTTTTACAATATTTAGGAGTTCTCTTTCAGTACATATTCTTCTTCGCAGCTCGTTGTTAATCACGTGCTCTGTTAAAGAGATCTTTAGCATCCTACGAAAAACCCACATCTCAATGGCTTCTATACGCCTCATACTTCTAATTCCGAGAGTCCATGTTTCCACTCCGTATAGCAATATGGAATAAATAAACGTTTTTACAAAGTGGTATCGGATGTCCAACGATAACGTAGAGTTTATTAGAAATTTTTTCATTCGTTGAAATGCGGACCTAATATATTCTATACGAGCACGTATTTCGACCTCGTGGTCAAGATCGTTTGTTATCCAGCAACCAAGATACTGAAATCTTTGTACTGGTTCTATATGTTTGTTATAGATACGAATATTAATGTCGACATTTGGTGCACGGGTAACAGCCATCAGTTTTGTTTTATTTGTGTTTATATTTAGTCCCAAGCTATCTCCCTCTCTGGTTATGACATTCAAAAGTCGTTGTAAACCCTCAGCACTGTCCGCAATAATGACGGTGTCGTCTGCATATCTTAAGTTGTTTACGTATTCTCCGTCGATTTTTATTCCTTCTTTAATATTTTCGAGGGCATTTTGAAAGATCTTTTCGGAATATATATTAAATAACAGTGGAGAAAGTACACTGCCCTGATGAACTCCTCTTTTTATTGGTCTATTTGCCTATTTTGATAGACGCCATTTGATCCCAATATAGGTTTTTAATAAGGACCACCGTGTTATGGTCTATACCATGTTGGGTTAGGGTTTCTATGAGTTCTGTGTGTTTTGTTTGATCAAACGCTTTTTCGTAGTCGATAAAACAGAGAAATACGTCTTTTCGCTGATCTCGGCATTTTTGTAGATCAGGTCAGTAGTATCAGAATTTTGCAATATCAGATACTAAAACTTTATTCAAGACTTATGTAAATAAAATCTGGCAAGAAATATGGGTTCAAACAAACACAAATCTTAAAAGCATGAAACCAGACATATCTTTAAAAAAGCTTTCCATACGACCAAAACAACCACTTGTAGCAGATATTAAACTAAGGTTAAAACGAATTCAGCGACAAAAACCAAAAACCAATAAACGTAACTTTGACGATATAAACATAAAACATAACAATAAAAAAGAATTTAATAATAAAATAAAAAACATCGGAGAACAACTAGAAGATCCACAAGAACTATGGAGTGGATTTAAAAACCAACTTAACGAAATCTCCACAAAAAATAATTATAGAAAAAACTTAATCAAGAAAAATAAATGGATGACATACGACATCTTGAAATTAATGGAACAACGTCGACTGATAAAATCTAATGTAACAGAGTATAGACACTTGCAGAGAAGAATAAAAAAGGAGATCAAATTAGCCAAAGAAAAAAGGATGAGAGAAGGGTGCGACGGAATGGAGGATGTAATATCTAAACACGACTTAATTAATTTGCACAAAAAACTAAAAGAAATGAGTAACATATTTAAAAAACGAGTTCCCTGTGTACTCGTTGACAATAATAACAAAAATTATTGTAAATGAGTACGAAATAAGAAAGGAATGCCAGCTGTATATATCAGAGTTGTTTGAAGATGACAGGAATGATATTGCCGAATTCTACCAAAACTGTACTGACGGCCCAGAAATTATTAAATGCGAGGTAGAACACTATAAATCATGCTAAAATTAGAAAAGCTAATGGTCTAGATTACATACCTACTGAGTTGCTGAAACTAATAGAGGATGATAACATTAAAGTAGTAGTAAGACTTGTTAATTCAATATATAACACCGGAGTGATTACGGCATCTTGGCTTAAATCCATCTTTGTCGCAATACCTAAAAAACACAATGCGAGAAAATGCTCATAATATCGATTAATTACCCTAATGAACCCTAATGAACCACACTCTTAAATTTTTTCTCATAATACTTCACAGCAGAAATAGACGCAAATGCGAAGAAGATCTTGGTTTTCTTAGAGTCCTTTTTGGCACTCTTAGAAGAATTTGGTTTTAGAAATGCTATGGGGACCAGGGAGGCACTTTTTGAGCTTAACATCACATTACAAAAATTCCGTGACCAAAGAAAAGATGTATTTGCATGTTTCGTGGACTTTAAAAAGGCTTTCTATAAAGTACAGCATGTAAAATTAATGCAAATAGTGAAGAATATCGGAATAGATGACAAGGATATTCGTGTCATTAAAAACTTGTACTGGAACTAACTGCTATCGTAAAAATTGTAGATAACTACACCCATAAAATCTCTATACAACGAGGAATCAGACAAGGTTGTATTTTGTCGCCAATATTGTTCAATGTTTACTCGGACCAGTTATTTAAAAACGCACTTCTATCAGATAATATTGAAGGTCTTCAAATTCTGCTTGATCATATTTAACAGGTAGAAGAGAAAATGGGTATTAAAATAAACTTAAACAAAACCAATGTTTTAGTGTTAAGTCGTGACCTACATCCCGATGCAAAGCTTCAATTAAATGGAGTCTAAGTTGAGAAAGATCACAAAATGACATATTTGGGTACTGTGTTAACGGATCAACTAGATCCAGACATAGAAATAAATCGTAGAATAGCAACGACTAAAACTACTTTTATGAAAATGAAGTCATTTCTTTGCAATAACCATC